TTTTGACACTCCATTTTTATAGCGGATTTTTTTAATCGTCGTTTCTGTTCTAGAATAACGATGATGCAACCAAGTTAAATTGACTTCTCACACCGCAAGAGTGCGAGAGAGATAGAGAGAGAAATAAAATGACTAGGTTGTAGACTGATATCATAAAGTTCGGAAAAGCTCAGCTCCATTATCAGCCGTGCTTCGTCGCCTCTGTTAATTGATGCACTACAACACAAAAAGTGATAGCGCCTAAACCAACATTTTCTGATACCGATTGACATCTAGGGACAATGTAACTGTTTAGTTACTTTACAATGTTTTAGCACTATCGAGCTTAATTAAAATAACAATAAAAGTACAAAAAAGGATCGATAAGGGGTTATACGTAGTTGCAAGACTAAAAAAACATTTTTTATGAATTTTTTATCGACACAATTTTTATTTATCAATTACAAGAGATGGTTATTCAAATAGAGCCTACTTTTAAGAATACAATAGTGCGTCAATCTTTTGATTTTTTTTCAATAATTCAATTAGAACAAAAAAATATTTTTAAAAAATTGCACTTACAGTTTTTGAAATTTCCTAATTATAACACCAAAGTTAGCCGACATTTTTAATTTTTTGAGTTTTTTTTAAATTTTTTTAATTTTTCAAAAATTGCGCTTATAGTTTTTCAAGTTTTTTACAAATGAAAATTTTTTTATTTTTTTTATAATAATTTTTTCAATAACAAAAATTTTTATATGTCGGTTAATTTAATTATAGCGCCAAAGTTAGCCGACATTTTTAATTTTTTTAATTTTTCAAAAATTGCGCTTATAGTATTTTAAGTTTTTTTCAAATGAAAAATTTTTTTTTATCATTTTTTCAATAAAAAAAAATTCTAAAAATTTTTCAATGTCGGCTAACTTAATTTTCATTCCAAACGACCTCTAAAAAAAAAGCGGTGATCTCCATTTCAGCGGTTTGGATTTTTTAAAATAAAAAAATATGGTAAATTCTTTTGAAGGATAGATTAATGCAGGTATTTTATTTTTATTTTTTTTTTAACAATTTGGAAAATTGTTTTTTGACAAAAAAAAAAACTAAATTTTTTACAAATAGCCACCATTTTGTCAAAAATCAAAATTTTTCTTATTCCTTCGTCCAATACCTGTATTAATCTATCCTTTAAAAGAATTTACCATATTTTTTTTTATTTCAGAAAATCCAAACCACGGAAATGTATTCATGAAAGTAGGCTCTATTTAAATAACCATCACTTGTAATTGATAAATAAAAACTGTGTCTATAAAAAATTCATACAAAATGTTGTTTTTTGAGCCTTGCAACTGCGTATAACCCCATAATGGAGCGAACTTGATTTTTAGCGCCTGAGGTTTGCAAAACACTTACAAAATTACAATTATTTAAGATTATAAATGATTATATATTTTCAATTACTTAATATATTACAAAAACAAATTATCTATCGTTGGACGAGATATACTAATAATAATAATATTTTGTTGATGTTATTTATAATTTTGTATTTTTTTTAGCTTATTGCTAATTTTTTTCTTTATTTTAAATATCATTTACCCAGCACATAACGTTTTTTGCATTAAAAAACAAATCGAGTGAGTTTTAAAAAAGATAATTATTAATTAATCAATAACTAAGTATATTATTATTATTATTATAATTATTAATAAAAGTTTTCATCATTTTTACCAGGATGAGCATTTACAGTATTTACAAATTCGGATTAATGCTTGTTATAAATATATTCAATTAACAATAATTAATTAATAATTATAGTTTTATAGTCAATACATTAGTTAATAATAGTATTACAATATAAATGCACACACATCGCCGCTTTAATTTAATGCTCAATTTGAGGGACGCAATTGTAAAATACTTGGTCTTTCTATCCACAAACTTTCAACAATCCTCGTTATTTATTTATTTATTTATTAATTAATATTTAATCAATCGCGTCAGTTAATAAATTTTTAATAAATTTATACGATAAAATAAAAATATGACGAGGTAATTATTAACGCTCAGTAAGTGGAATAGTGAGTTAGTTTAATTTAATTTAACGGCGACGGTGTGGAAGAATTGGGACAGAGGGACGGTGGTCTGAGGCTGGCTCGGTTTTTGGACATAAAATATATTCATACTTTTTTTTCTCAATATTTAAATTAATTAAATAAATTAAAAAAAAAAAATTTTTTTTGCGCTTGCGTTGTAGATATTCGATTTTGTTAACATAAAAAATGTTGCACCAATCAGCGGAATAATTTTTATTTATGATCAATTAAGTGAGATTAAATAAACAGAACGCTCAGCTAAAATAATCTCAATAATTAATTGAATTGAACGAATTTTAGTATAATTACAAATAATTTTATTTAAAAAATAAAATAAAATAAAAATTATGGTTTTATTAAATCTATTAATTTAATATCAATTTCAATAATGCTTGAGGCACTTGAAATATTGACTAAACTTAATTACCGACAAATAACAAACTCTTATTTAATTACGGAATATCTACAACAAATTATTGGCACTAAAATTAATTTAAAATTCAAACTTAAAAATTTTTAAGTCGATTTCATTAAAAATAATATTAACAAATCATTAAAAAAAATCACAATTAATTATAAATAATAATTGAATAATTGTGTAAAATAAAAAATATTCACAATTGGACGTTTACAATAATGGTTCGGTAAAATTACAAGGGCATTAATTGATCAGTTAATGCCGATCAATATTAATTGTCTCACTTGTTATCATTTTAAAAATATATACCACGACAAATAATTTCACAGTCATAATAGTAATAAATATACAATTTGATTAATAATACAATAATAATGGTAATAATAAATAACAGAGTTAATTATAATTACAAAAGCGAATAGCGACAACAACACCGTAATTTACTGTTTTTTACGAATAATTATTAACGGAGACAGTATACGATTAAAAGATTGGCAACAATTACCGATTGTGCTGACACTTAATCGGTTTATTTTTTGGACAATAGATAAAATTTATTTATGATTTTATTAACGTGGTATTTTTTTCTTAATTCCTTGCTTGGCTCATTGAGCTGCAGGAGGTTCTAAAAAATGGACGTTATTATAAATTCTTTTTTAGATTACCTAGCCATCACCTCGTGAAAAATGATCGCTAATAGATTGCTATAATAACTACTATATATATATATATATATATATATATATATATATATGTATATTCTATAGATGATGTAAATACATCGATCAACGTCAAAAAAAATAGTTGCGCGAGGGATAATAACTTATCAAAATATTTTGATTAAAATATTTAATATTTAGCTGCGATTAATAATTTACGGCCGTACTGCTTATTGAAAAATAAATAAACCGGCCGAATTTTATTGTTTTAAATATCGACGGTCGATAATTTAAAAATAAATATATAAAATAATACTTATAAATAATATTGCAATTTTTAAAAACGTAAATAATAAGGAGCACAATGTGATGCGACGGAATTTCGTACTCTCTCATTCGTTCATTATTTAAAAAATTCATTTTTTATCGATTTAGTTTTTAATCAAACTAAAAAAAACCTACGAATGTTTTTTTTTTGTAAGTTTAAAATATAAAAAATCTAAATCGCTATATTTCCAGAAAAACTGGAAATTTTATTAATTTATTTATTTGTTTTTTTATTTTTTACTAAACGATTATTAAATTCTACGTCGTACTATAGTTAATAATAATAACGTATTGTCTACAATCGACTTGTCCTAGTAAGTATTTTAATTTTAAAAAACACCTGACTTATTTCGTGTTTTTATAAAACTAGAATTCAAATTTACGCGTGCAAGCGCGCGTCTGACTATAGAGTTTGCATATATTTTCATGCTTATGATATATTCGACCAATCACGTTACGAATAGTTTGATGCCAGATACATTTCATCTTAATTTTATATTAGGAGGATAAAACCTGGTAACGAAGAGATTTTTATTGTTTTTCTTCACCTATTCTTTGTTTTTTTTTTTTTTTTTTATTATGTTCAACTAGACTTAATCAACGACATGGAGCGTGAGTGATGAATATTGAGAGAAAAAACTTGGGAATCTAGTTAATCCACTGGGAAATTTAGTTATACTAACAAATACCATGACAATTATTCGGATTCGATGGTATTTTATCATCATCTCTCTCCTTTTTTTTTTATTTTCTAATTTTATAATATAATTTTTTTTATTCATTATTTTTTTTTAAGTAAAATATCTCTCTGAATTTTTATTTCATCTGTATTAATGGTACCGATAGTAACATCAATTCCCGAGGCAATTTAACTCCCATCGCGTATATCATCATTTTTTTTCGGAGTACATGAAAATTTTTTATTACCGCGGTACCTTCTATTTTTTAATTAATCACTTTACGGTTCACATATCGACTAAAATTTTTTAATAAAAATTCAAATGAATAAAAAAAAAAATTTCACCGCAATTGTTATATTTAAACTTTGTAATTATTAAAATCTCTAATTAAAATTCAATAGAATGGGGAAAAAAATTATCCGAGATTAAAACTGAAAATAAAAAAAAAACACTCGGATAATAAAGTTAAAATTTTCACCAAATATTTTTTTTCATGAATAAACTTTCCCACAAAAAAAAAAGAATTTTATTAAATAACCGGAGAATAAAAAGAGTTTTTACGTTAAAAGCATTTGAATTGTAAAACAATCCGAATTCGATCAATATGAATCAATACCGCGATAACCCAGTACGTGATACGTTTGTTTTTAACTGACCGGTATTGTCAGAATAACAATTAAAGCGTATTAATATACTTACTAATTTACTCTCGATAAAATTCCATGTACCCGAAAAAAGTTAAAAAGTAAACAAAGTATATGAAATAATAATTATAAACGCGATAGTATTTATAAAAAATAATAATCATCACTCAGAAAACTTTGCTCCATATCTTAACCATTTTCTAGAAAAAATCTCTACCCATATGAGGACGGTGCGTCTGTTGCATGCGAGGAGCACGGCCACGTCCACCACCGCCACTTCCGCCATGTCTACGACTATTTCTCAATTCGCGGTCAACCTCCAATTCCTCTAATTTCATAGTAAGTCCTAGCTTTTGTTGAACTGCGAGACGTAGCAAGTGATTGAGCGTTTTCCTATCCTCCTCGGCAGCAGTCAGTTGACGTTGCAATTCCTCAACTTGTGTTACATATTCCTCACATCGCGCAGCAAACATTGCTCGCAGACCTGAACAGGTTTATTTGTTAGAGGGTATTTTAAAACACACAAGGTTCTATTTTTTTTTTTTAAACGATTAATTGACTAGAAAAAAAACTCTCACCATGGGAATAAATAAAAACGATGATTACATAAACAAACATCGCGTTACTAAAACCATCAAAGGCGTATAAAAAAATTTTTTTTGCCTATCAATGTAAAAATTTTGAAAACATTAATATCTATGGAAAAAACGAAAAAAAAAATTTTTTTGTTATACGCCCTTAAGGTTTTAAGAAAACATTTTTCTAAAGTCATAAGGGCGTATCCTGTTTTTTCGTTTATAAGGGTGTATTACACTAAAGTTCGCCGACGTTTTTAATTTTTTTTTAAATATTAAATTAGAACTAAAAAATATTTTTTTAAAATTGCACTTAGAGTTTTTCAAGTTTTTTACAAATGAAAATTTTTTTTTTATTTTGCAATTATTTTTTTAATGAAAAAAAAAATTTTTTAATTTTTAATGTCAGCTAACTTAATTTTCATATCAATGTTTTTAACATTTGTACATTGGTTGGAGCAAAAAAAATTTTTTTATACGCTCTTATGGTTTTAGTAACACGCCATATAAATGGATGATGTGGGGGAACCAAGATGTGAATAAGGAGTGAGGATTTTTTGATGAAACTAAACGAAGCTACCAGGAAAAAATACAACAATCATGAACGGGAAAAACATAAAAATGAGGAATACCACTTAGGAAATTATACAAACAAAAAATAGCTTTATTAAATTATCATTATTTAACACAAGAACGATCTTGATGGCACATGTTAAGAGCAAGCGCTAAGTCTATTGTAAAGGAACTCGACATTAGTATCGCCATGTAAGCAAGTGCTAAAGCCCAGTATTGATGTTGATATTAATGTACGATTAAATAAGGTAATAAATTAATGGAATATTGTTAGTGGGAATACGGGATAAAAAATAATAAATTTTTGTAATTCATGAATTAAACTCGTGATAACAAAGAAATAAAAGTTCGACAAGGCACTTACTTGAAAATGTCGCTGCATTTTCTTTCAGCCGTCTAAGTTCGTTCCTTAGCTTGGAAATAGTTTCGCTGACGATACTCTTTTCACTTTCGTACTTGCTCTTCAAATTGGTCAACGCAACTTCAGCGGTATTTTTATTTGATTTTAGTACTGTTCTTAAAGTTGCTATCTGTTCTCGTTTAGCTGATAACAACGCCTTTAATTTTATTACCTGCTCCTGCAGATCTCCTTCGTCTGCTTTATTTTCATTGCCGGCTAAAGATAAAACGAAACGATATATTAGTTATGTTTATTATTTAAATTTAAAAAATAAAGAGGGTTGTTAAAAAATTTTACAACCCTTAAATTAATTTGTCTATATTATTAAGAGAATACCCACATCAATTTTTTATATATTTTATATATTTATATATATATGAATATATGAAAAATATATAAAAAATGCATGTGAGTACTCAAACGAAAGCTCTTGATGAGTGTAACATCGGGATGCGCTTATATCTTTAAAAATGTCAATAATTAAGAAATGAACTCGTATCTTGTCAACAACTGACGTTTCTAAAGATATAATCTCATCCTCATGTAACACTCATCGAGACCTTCCATTTGAGTACCCACATCAATTTTTCATATATTTATATATATTATGTATATGTATATATGAAAAATATATCAAAATGCATGTGGGTACTCAAATGAAAGCTCTGGATGAGAGTAACATCGGAATGAGCTCATATTTTTAAAAATGTCAATATTTCACAAGATTTTTGTTAAATTGCACTGTGTACTTTCTTAACTATTGACGTTTTTAAAGATATAAGCTCATCCCGATGTTACACTCTTCAAAACCTTTCATTTGAGTACCCCACAAGATTTTTGTTAAATTGCACTGTGTACTTTCTTAACTATTGACGTTTTTAAAGATATAAGCTCATCCCGATGTTACACTCATCAAGAGCTTTCACTTGAGTATCCACATGCATTTTGATATATTTTCCATATATTCATATATATATATAATATATAAATATATAAAATATATGAAAAATTGATGTGGGTACTCAAATGAGAGGTCTCTATAAGTGTAATGTCAGGGTGAGCTTATATCTTTCAAAACATCAATATTTAAGAAAGTACAGTGCAATTTAACAAAAGTAATTATTTAATAAAAGAAAATTTTAATTTTTTATAGTTCACAAATTACAGCAGTTACACAGAGACTGCAAGGTTGCTAGTAAAAATAAAATACTTACAATTATCAGTCTGATTTCCTTTCAATTTAGACATATCGATAGTGTGTTCAACGGCATTTCTCAGGTGTTTTATTTGATCCATAGCAGTTTCAATATGTTTACCGATTTCTTTAGCTTTACTAAGACTCTTGAGATCTTTGATAGGCAAATCTGTTTTGGAAAGTGTTCTAAACCATTCAATTTTTCCATTATCCTCACTCTCTTCTTTCTCAGGAACTATTTTCTCATGATCGAGTATTACTCGTGAAGGTGTCTCGCCATTTACCGCGCAAACGTGGTGGTAAAGCTGAGCCAGCTCGTCAGAAATATTCTGAAGATCATTCTGAGCCGTGTCTAGACACCCTCCAGCCTCACAAGCCAGCTTTGAAAGAATTTCAATGTCCGATTCAAGCTGAGAATTCCGATGCTCAGTATCCAGTAGCTGAAATAAATAATTTTTATCTTTAATTTTTAAATCAACTAATTTATTTTTAAATAAATAAATAATTTTAAATGACAATCGTAGGATTTTTAATTTTTATAGCTTCATTATTTATGCATTCTTTTAAGCACGAATTACATTTTGCAGTTTTTTATTTATTTATTTTAAAAGTGTAAATTCAGCTTGAAAAATTTTTTTAAATTTTTTATTCGTGCAATTTTTACTCTACTTATTTATTCATTGTATAGATATCATGCCACGTTAATAGTGACCGAGACATTCATATGATTTATTTAATTAATTATTAAAAATTCATTAGAAATAATAGACCGAATATTGAATGAAATTATAATAAATATCAATATTCAATAACCAGCCTCTATTATAATGAATATATTAATTATAATAATTAAATGAATTAATTTATAAGCACATTCACTTTAAAGCTTAGTGAGCTCGCCGGTACAATCGATGATTCCACCTGCTTATCTCAGCTTGTTTAATAAACATACGTGTACGGAAGATTTATAATTGCTACGATAAGCAAGATTTTTTTATCATTACGATACACTTGCTGCTTTGTATGTATGTAATACTAAAATTATTAAATGAAGACCAGAGTATGGCTGATGGTGAAATAATAACGAGTAAACTTATGAACAGAGTATATAATAGTATGTAATAATGCTATTAATTTATGTGAAGTATAAAATTAAGTAGAGTTAAAATATCGCGTTACTAAAACCATAAGGGCGTATAAAAAAATTTTTTTGTTATACGCCCTTATGATTTTAAGAAAACATTTTTCTAAAGTCATAAAGGCGTATCCTGTTTTTTTGATTTATAATCAATTATAGGTCAGAGTAAAAAAAATTGCAAAATAGAAATTATTACTCCACAACTTAATTTAGATCAACAAATATTTATTTAAGTGAAAAAACGACTGAAAAATTGAGAAAAAATAAATTCATAAAAACGTGAGAACAAGCGGTATGTCCTCAAGTTAAGAAATTTATCCTCAAAGTTTTTCTGAACTGATTTTTTTTTTACTTTAGATGTACTTACACTTAAGAAAAGAGTTTTGTAAGCCATTTAGAACTGTAATTTTAAAAAAGTCATTCAAAAAGAACTTTGTTCTTGAGAATTGTTATGATTCTTTAATACCAATATCTTGAAGCAAATTTGATGACCTAAATCATTTTTGTACATCAGGCACCGTCCCATAAAATATCATCGGTATTATCAAAGTTTAATTTTCAGTCATGATCATAGTTTATAATTTTTTTTTATCAAGTTTTTTTTTTTTCTTAAATTAATTTTTATTCTAATTTACAAGCATGTATGGATATCATTCACATTCCATGCTTGTAAAGGTGGACCATCTTAGGAACTTCGCCGTCCATCTTACGGTATAAAACAAATTGTTTACTTTGTTTAAGAAATTTTTTTCTTACTCTGACCTATAATTGATAATAAACCGAAAAAACAGGATACACCTTTATGGTTTTAGTAACGCGATATTTATACAAGATAAAGTAGGTATTTAATTTGTACAAGCTGCACCTAATAGACATTGTTAGGGTAACCGTAAAAGCAATTATAATTATAAATAATTATAATTTAATAATAAATCGTTAGATAGGCAAAACATTAAGTCAAGTAATTGTTATTAATAGGTGGTAAATGCGTAAACAAAGGTCACAAGTTCCAACCTTTTCTTGAAGACACTTCTCTGACACCGGTATCTGGAATCCCATAATTTTATACTTGTTTTTTATTCTACTTATTTACCCACAACCCATTTTACCTTCACACAAGAGTTTTATTATTATTAATTTATACTACTGAGTACTTTGATCCTAACGCGATACTATTTACTATTCACTACTGTATACTCAACTGTCGAAAATAAACATTAATTATCAAACGTGTGTACTCGAGCTAGCGTTAATAATAAATACCTTGTTACGGAGGTTTGTTAATTCCATTCGCAATTGCTGGGTTGCGTCAGAAACAGTTAAATTGTCTTCAAGTTCAGCTAGGTCTTTCTGCAACTGCTCAACTTCTCGTGCAGACATTGTGCTCCATTGATGGTACTGCATAACAGCCTGTTAATAATTAATTCCTTCAGATTAGATATATAATTCCTTAAGCTTTTAAAGCCAATTCATTATTTATAGCATTCTAATTAATTTAAATTTTCTCTAAAAAAAATAACTACCAGCCTAATGGATTTTAAATTTACAAAAATAAAAGAAAAAATATTTTTATTACTTGAATTTATAACTAAGTAAACAATTATTTTAATAAACAACCCAGTTTTTTATTCTCACTTTGGCAATTGTAAAAACACAAATATTTTAATTAATAAAAAAAAACAATACTAAAATTAGCCGACGTTTTTAATTTGTTGATTTTTTTTTAATAATTAAATTAGAACAAAAAAATATTTTTAAAAAATTGCACTTACAGTTTTTCAAATTTTTTACAAATAAACATTTTTTTTTATAATCATTTTTTCAATAAAAAAAAATATAAAAATTTTTAGGTGTCGGCTAAATTTTCATAAAAAAAAAAATACTTTTTTTTAACTTATAAAAATATTTTAAAATTTAATAAAAATATCTGAAATGTTAAAATTTAATTTCTCGTTCATGAATTTAATAATTCGCGACCCAAATACCAAAAGGGCGTATAAAAAAACTTTTCAGTTTGTTCTGAAATATAAAATTTAACTCTAAAAAATAAATCCAGATCATTTAATATTGTGGAATTTCGCGGCTCTGACTCAGCAACTATGTTAAATATCGCAACTGTTTTCTTTCTTTTTCAATTAAAATTATAAACAGAATTCGTATTAAAATTGTTATAAGATAAAAGACCCAGTTATTGACACTGGCCTAGTTGTTTGATACTTGCAATTTTATTCTAATTAAAAAATTCAAATGTTCTCAAAAAACCAATTTTCTTAAAATTTTTAATTGAAAAATTATATTTATTAATTTATTAGAGTTGATTCTTTTTCTTTAATTAAAATAAAATTGCAAGTGTCAATAACTGGGTCTTTTACCTTAATAACCTTTAAAAATACCTATTTGTAATTTAATAATCAATATATATATATTTTGAATTTTGCAGTAAAATTAGTAACATAAATCACAATTCAAAGCAATCGACAAAAAAATTATGCGCCCTTTTGGCTTTAGGTCCTAAATTTTCAATGTCCTAAAGCTAAAAGGGGGTAAAAGTTGAAACATACGTCCTTTGGCTTTGGAAACTTTTTTTTTATTTTTAGTTTTAGAAAGTGTTAATAAAGCGATTAGTAAAAAAAAAAATGTATACGCCCTTTTGGCACCGCAAAAATATTTGAAAATTTAATAAAAATATCTGAAATATTATATTATATATTTGGAAGCTACGTAGACAGTATCCCAAATAAATTTGAATTATAAATAAATGGTAAGCCTCTGACAAGAGTTGATAATTGTAAATATTTAGGGGTATATTTTGATAAACACTTGAAGTGGGATAAAGATGACTATGAATTATCTAAGAAGCTTAACTATTTCACTTTCCTTTTTTACAAGCTTAGCCAGGTACTTAATTCTTCTATTTTAAAAACTATTTATCATGGACTGTTTGAAAGCATAATAAACTATGGCATTGTTGCATGGGGAGGAGCCTATAACAATTCGATTAAACCTGTCACATCTCTTCAACATAAAATAATTAAAAAGCTATGTAAAAATAATTACAACAATATCCCCTTGACAATTAGAGACTCAATTATAATAAATGCATTAACTTACTACTATCAAGAATGTAAAAACCTATTCTATGAAAAATGTACAAATACAAGATCTAAGCTGCTAATTCTACCAAAAATAAACAAAACTATTAGTACCCAGAATGCTTATTATGTAGCAATTAAATATTATAACAAACTCCCTGCTGATATGAAAACTATAGACTGTAGTAAAAAATTGTTAAAAAAAAAGTTAAGTTACTGGATAAGAAACCTTAATGGTTAACATGCTTAAAAAATGTAATGGAAAATGCGAGTATTTGATTGGATATTTCTTTTTATGATAATTATTTATAATTTTGTATTTCTTCTTTATAAATTTATTACTTTTTGTACTTATTATCTTTTTGCATTGTATTATCAACAAAAATTTTGTAAAAAGTATATATATTGTAAAATTGATATTTTTGTACTGGTTCTATAAACAGGTGTCTTTGCACCTCGATAGAATTCTTTACAAGATAAATAAATAAAAAATAAAATAAAATATAATATTTTCGTTTGAATCATTCAAATAATTTATAATTGGACTATTGCTACATCAAAATGTTAAAAAATCACCCTCTAAAAAATAAGGAGTTAGACAAATTGCTAATTAGACCGTCGTAAAAATTAAAATTTAATTTCTCGTTCATGAATTTAATAATTATTGATCTGCTAAATTTATTCAATTTAAATAAAATAATTATTGTCCTTTAAATCAATAACTAAGATTGAATCAGATACCTGACATGCAAGTGTCTAGCAACCTAGAATTAAAATTTAAAAATATACTAGATAAAAAAAGGATAAAATTACTTGAGTGAGTTTATCGATGGCCGTTTCCTCAGTTTGTTTTTCCGGAAGTTTAGAGTGTAAATGCTGAAGCGACTGAACACGAGCCGCTAACTGAACAATTCTAGCAACAAATGATTGTAATTCCCCCTGACTTTTTTCAACAGCATGCTGGCTGTCTTTTAAATTCTGTGACAACACACTCTTTTCCGATTCCGCTAGTTCAAGTTGTTTTTCCAGTTTTTTCAGCTCGTTCAAGTGAATTTCCGAAAACAAATCAACTTGTTTACCAGCAGCAGATGTCCCGGGTTCTTGAGTTTTTAAGTCAGCCTCAATCCGTCTGAGCGCCGGAGAATCGTCTTCTCCATCACTGCATATCGTCTGATCATCAGTTATACCGCGTATGAGGGCGAAATTACTCAAATTAAAAATAGACTCGCTATTCATACGTTGGTCCAACTCTTTTTTAAGCGAATACTTGGCCTCTCGCTCAGCTTGGAGTGATTCCAGTGCCTCCTCCATCTGTTTCTCCGCTATTTTTTTCAAGTTAGACAGCTCCTCAACTTGACTGTTCAGCAGCTCGACTTCCTCGCTCAGCCTGCGTATCTCATGCTTCGCACTTTCAAAATCAACTTGACTGGACCTCAGGGTTGATACTTGCTTTTGCAAGGATATATTTTCATCCTCAAGCTCTGTATAATCCTGGAGCAATCTTGTCTCACGAAATCGGCACTCTCGTAATTCAGTTCGTAAATTTTTACGTTCAACTTCAGCTTGCTCATGATTTTTACCCACATCTTCGCGTTCTTGCAACGCGTGATCACGTTCTACCTGTACTCGTTCTAATTCGTGCCTTAATTGTTTTGTTTCATTCTCTAATTCAATTATCAACGATTGTAGTGATGTTTCACGTGCCGCTGATTCACATAAAAGGCTTTCTTCCTGCTCGATACCACTTCTGGTTGTCAATTTCGTTGTGTTTTGAAATTTAGCTAGAGCCTAGGTAAAAAATATATATTTAATAAAAAATAATATCATTCCCACTAATTAAATTTATAAAAATAAATTTACCTCTTGTGTAATATCAAGCTCATGCTTGGTATTCTCGTAGAGTGCTTCAAGCTCATTACATTTTTGCTCCAACGCAGACTTTTCCTCCAAAAGAGCAAGCCCATATTGTGCTGATTGAATTTTTTCGGTCGACGCAAGGTCAAGCTCACGTGAAAGTCTTTCAATTTCCGCTCTTAGATCCATTACTCGGTCTTCGGTTACCGTGGCCATGGTATTATTATTATTATTTAGTCAGTTTCGTAATTTAAAGTCAGTTATTTATAATAAATAAATAATATAATAAATTAAACGAAAAAAAAAAAAAAAAAAAAAAAAAAAAAAAAAAAAAAAAACACAAATCAATACAATACTATAGCCTGGATTATTTTTGTCCAGTTGTCAGTCAGCAATAAAAAATCTCGTCCGTTTGAATAATAATTAATCGTTACCGTAAGTTGATTGTGTTAATTAGAGTGGACATGAGGTGGTCCCGAGGCGACAACAAATACCTAAGCATTATCACTATCCCGTTTATTGGCTGATACAATGTTGATGTTGATTATGATAATTGTGTTATTTTAATTATAATTATAATCCTGCCTGGCACTTTTATTTGGGGTATTTATATCTTACACGTACACAGCCCACACCCACGTTTTTATAATTTACCCCCCTTTACATCCACACTTTAGGAGACTACCGTAAATACCCGACAAGTTTACTCCTTTTTCGGCATTCACATGTCCTATTAAATGGACTCTTTTGACGGATGTGAATGGACACCGTGATTCGTATATCGCAGTGTGATAGATAAGGTACAACGCGAGTACCGACGAGGCTCGTCAGGAAGCCAACACACCGCTGTGGCTGCTTTCTGGTTTACACTTTACGAGCGACAGACCGAACATGTCTGCCGAGGTTTATTTAAAATTTTTCTTACTGCGCATGCGCAGGCTTAAGGCGAGTTTCCATGAATATTTTATGAAAATCAATTTAATAGATATATTTTAAGATTTTTATAATAAATAAATTACCGCATAAATAAAATAAGAAAAAAGTTGACTTTTAGAAAATTTAATAACTTAAAAATTAAATTTTTTTAAAATAATTTTTCGGAACAAATTTGTTTATTAAAAAAAATTAAAAAATGGTCAAGTGATGGCTAAATTTAATATCATAATTTTTTATGAAAATTATCAAATTAATTAGATATAAAGAAAATGAAAAAAAAAATTACTACCTAAAAATCAATTATTATTATTTACCTTATTAACTAGGATTCAATTTATATTTATAAATCAAAATTTAATTAGAAGAAATAAAAAAATTTATTTTGCCAAATAAAATAATTTTTTCTTAAAAAATAAGATATAAAAAGTGTAAACTGAAATTAGACGATCTATTACAAGAAATTAACAATTATACTCTTTATTTTTGTACAGAATTAGTAAAAATTATTACATGTCTTCACCATTTACCTACTATCTGTTACTTAATTATTAAATATAATAATCATAACAGAAGCAGTATGAAAATACTGTGTAAAAATATTCCATACAAATAGTATACTGAGATTCTTCAAATAAATATATAACTTTCTAAACTTAAACATTAATTAGTAGCAGACGCTTTATGTTTAAGCATCCTCTCTTCAATTACAGGTCTAAAGTGTCGAATGAGTCCTTGAACTGGCCAAGCAGCACCATCAGCAAGAGCACAAATAGTGTGCAATTCAATTTGCTTTGTGAGTTCCCATAACATGTCAATTTCATGCACCTCTGCATTTCCTTGGACAAATCTGTAAAATAAAACCAGTTGTACAAACGCAAACAAATATTTCTACCAAATTAAACTTACCGATCCATTATTTTGTTCATCCAGGAAATTCCTTCACGGCAAGGGGTACATTGACCACAAGACTCATGTTTGTAGAAGCTGATAAGCCGAGCAATCGCCTTGATCACATCAGTTTGTTTGTTCATTACTATAACAGCTGCAGTACCAAAGGAGCTTTGCACCCTGACCAGGTCATCAAAGTCCATGAGAACAGTATCACACACACTGAAATAAATTTTAATAATAAATATATCTTCAATTTTTCATTAATAAAAAATAATTTTAATATTAATATTACTTCTTAGGAATAATAGGTGTTGATGATCCACCAGGAATGACTCCTAGCAAATTATCCCATCCTCCAATGACACCACCAGCATGCCTTTCAATCAATTCTTTCAGAGGAACCGACATTTCTTCTTCTACAGTACAAGGATTGTTAACATGACCAGAAATATTAAATAACTTGGTTCCATGATTTCTTGCGCGACCAAAAGAAGCAAACCAAGATCCTCCACGACGGCAAATAGTCTAGAAATAATTTCAACATCAAAATTAATTACTTAAGTTAGTTGTCATGGTACAATATCGTCAAAATCCTAGAGATTATACGCCGCAAAAGTATATGAGCTTGCTAATAAAATAATTTTATATTTATCCTTGATTAAAAAACAGGTCTAGATGGTTTCACCAATAATTTTAATTAAAAAAAAATAATGGGTGTAAATGATTGGAAAAATTAGAGAGCGAGGTGATTTTTTTTTTTTCTTATTTTTATTTAACAGATTTATTTAAAAAAATATTTAAACCTTAGTATACAATTATAATTGTTGGCAGATAAATTATTTATTACCAGTTTATATGGAATTACTTTAGAATTCGGATATTTTCAAAGTGGCTGTTACATATAGAATACACAATTTTTTCCAATAGTGGAATTGTCATTTAAAATCATTAAAAAAATTTTCTGTTACGTATTCGAAAATCCACATAGTTTTTTATGTCCATATGGACTTACTATAAGAACAGATACAAATCTACAGATAAAGTACAGATAAAATTCATACAAATACAAATAACATTATAATCCGATTAATTCCAATAAAGAAACCCCGCTATGATGGACATATAGATTCCAATAGATTCCAAATCTCATTCTATTTGGAAATTTTTTATCCCATATTGATTATATTGTATAAGCTATGATACATTTTATTGTTGCTTATGAGTCTGTATTGAATGTTTTCAACAGGGTAGTAACTATAAAAAGCTCTTATGAACGAGTCCAAGTGTAGGTTGTTGAGGTACTCAACAATTTCTAACACTAGTTCATACGGCAACGGTATAGCTTCTGGAAGAGAAGAAATTTTCTTCAAATTTTCGAATTGTTTCAATCTGTCCGTAGCATATTAGGTATAAAAAAATTTAGAATTTTCTGACGGTATTCATTAACCACGACAACTATATATACTTTAATCAAATAATTACTCAAAAAACTAAATTATTAAAAATTTTTAAAATACATACAGGTGCAACTGCAACAGTTTCAACGTTAGTCACGGTGGTAGGACATCCAAAGAGACCAACATCAGCTGGGAAAGGCGGCTTCAATCTTGGTTTGCCTTGCTTGCCTTCCAACGACTCAATCAAAGCGGTTTCTTCGCCACAAATATAAGCACCAGCTCCCCGTTGTACGAAGACATCAAAATCATAACCAGAACCACAGGCGTTCTTTCCTATCAATCCTGCTTGGTAAGCTTCAGCAATAGCAACTTGCATGTTCGAAGCTTCATTATAAAATTCTCCTCTGATGTAAATGTACGCAGCACAAGCTCCCATCGCGCGACCAGCGATCAAACACCCTTCAACCAGCTTATGCGGGTCATGTCGCATAATTTCCCTGTCCTTGCATGTTCCTGGCTCTCCTTCGTCAGCATTTACCACCAAATACTTGGGCCTGCCGTCCGAAGGCTTGTTCATAAATGACCACTTCATTCCTGAAGGAAATCCAGCGCCTCCTCGACCTCTCAAGCCGGATACTTTTATTTCATTGATGATCCAGTCGGATCCTTTGCCAAGAATTTCCTTTGTTTTGAACCAGTCGCCTCTCTTCAGTGATCCCTTTAATCTCCAGTCATGCCTGCCATACAAGTTGGTAAATATTCTGTCCTGGTCTTGCAGCGGACCTCCGAATTTCTGGGAAAAATTTTTTAATCCGTCAGATGAAGATGACAACTGTCACTTTTTTATTTTCTATTTTTTTTATAACGGAAGTCATTATTGCACAACTTGTGCAATAACTTGAGAATTAGTTTTTTTTAATAAAAGTTAATTACCTTTCCTTCTGGTGCACCATCTGCGAAATTCCTGAGCTGCTGATTGCTCACAAGGGCACCAAGAAAACCTGGAAAAAAATTTTTCGTCAATTATTGCCTCAGGGTAAATTTAAGAGTGAACTTAAAAATATTTTGTATTAAATGACAGATTGTATGTCTCGTTAAAGTAAATTGTTTGGTAATATTTAAAAATATTTTGAGATTATTTTAGGAAGAATTAATTAAGATAAAATAATTTAAACTCACCTAATTGGTTTTTTGGAATCTGAGAACAGCGACTTATAACACCCGCCATTTCAATAAATTTACTGGCTTAAAGGATTGCGACTTATTGCATTTCAGCTCATACTGGTTACCGACACAATAGCCCCTTCTCTTTCGCTACGTAAACGCTATATCTCTCTGTATACTGCGCAAATTATTATATATATATATAGATGTATACATATCACGTCAAAGCGCAAGATCAAGAAATATTATTTAAAAATAATCATTAAATTAATTTTTAAATAATTACAGAAATTAATTTATTTTATCTTACAAAAATTTATTTAAAAAAAAAATATTTAATATAATAAATAATTTAATACAAAATTTTATTTTATTTACGTTGAAAAAAAAAATATTTACGAATTTAGAAAATATAAATTATAATAAAATTATTTTTTCATTTTTTTATTTTTAATTATTTTAATGACTTTATCTGGTAATTTGAATTTCTTTAGTTTATATTGGAGGCTTGTATTAAAGTGATTAAGCAAGGATTTATTGGATCTGTGTAGTAAAAACTGCAATGAAAACAATTATAAATAAAGTACTTCAATATACGGAAAAAATTAATTAGATTACCTTATATTTAATCTTCATGATAAAAAAACTATTTTAAAAAAATTGCACTTAAAATTTTTTAAAGCTTTTAAAAATGAAATTTTTTAAATAAATTTTTCTCGCTATAATTTATTAATTAAAAAATTTCTAAAAATTATTAGATATTTCTCAATTTCAATATAAGTATCTTATAACATTAAATTTGCAGACACTTTTAAAAATTTTTTTTTTAATAATAAATTAGGTCTAAAAATTTATTTTTAAAAAAATTGCACTTAAAATTTTTTAAAGCTTCTAAAAATGAAATTTTTTAAATAAATTTTTCTTGATATAATTTAATAATTAAAAAAATTCTAAAAATAATCAAATATTTTTCAATTTCAATATAATTATTTTATGACATTAATTTTGAAGACACTTGACAATTTTTTAATTTTTTTTTTAACAATAAATTAGATCTAAAAAATTGCACTTATAATTTTTTAAAGCTTCTAAAAATGAAATTTTTTAAATAAATTTTTCTTGCAATAATTTATTAGTTAAAAAATTTTTAAAAATAATCAAAAGTCCCTCAATTTAAATCTCATTAAATTAAAATTAAAAATACTAATTACAATTTTATTATTTTTAATAAATCACTGTAAATAAATAAATAAATAAATAAATAAATTACCGTCTGTTCTAGCAAGCTCGAGAGCTTTCCTACTTTCATCAAGACTCCCAGCAGTGATAATAATCCTGGACAAATTATTTTCCCAACTCCTCTGCAAGACAACTTCCAAATCTGGGTGGTGTTTTTGCGAGCCGTTGTAAACTCCTTGATACATCGGGTCCAACAAATTAGCTCCGATATCTATGTTACAAAAAAATCAATTGGATTAGCATAGATAAGTATCGGTATAGCAAATTAACCTACATGCGACGAGCATAAATTATAAATAAATAAAGTGACAGGCGACAACATAACCTTTGATAAAATATTTATAACAAAAATCACAGCTGATTTATTATTAGAGTTACTTATTAAATTATTTTAATAAAAATTTAAGTAAACAGTAAAATTATTTTAATAATATTTACCAATAAATTTTCGTAAATTGGTCATCCTTAGGCCAGGCATGCGACTGATGATACTAAAAGGCCTAACTGCAGAGCTCAACTTCAAGACAATAGATATAATAGATTAGCAGGTGTCCGTTGTTTGACCGGCGGTTCCTCTGACACATGGATAATACTTTTGCTTGTAAGTTTAATTTTTTAAGTGGGAGTTACTGCAGACTATACTATTTACACTTAGATATATATAGCTATATAAAACTAATACTAAACACTTACTTATATACCTCTGTGCTCTGTACTAACTATATATAATACCATCAAATAAAATTCCGCTGTTTCCGAATGTACATGTATATCATATGCTGTTGGTGTACTGGTTACTTTTTTATTATTCTTATTACGCGCAAACGTACTTCAACCATATCCTTTTAGTATACTAATTATTTATGTATTTTATTTATTCTTCCTTATTTAACCTTGATGTTATCCTGGACATGCGATTATTGATTTTTAGTCCATGATAAAATACACTGACAGTAGAAATTTTTTTATAAATAAATTGTAAAAATTAAGTTAGCCGACATCTAATTAATAAAATTTTTAGAATTTTTTTTTATTAAAAAAAATTATTACAAAATAATTAAAAAAAAAATTTCATTTGTAAAATACTCGAAAAACTAAAAGTGGAATTTTTTAATAATATTTTTTAGTTCTAATCTAAAATAATTAAAAAAAAAAAAAATAAAAACGTCGGCTAACTTTATTATTATAAAAAATTTTCATTTATAAAACTTGAAAATCTATAAGTGCAATTTTTTTAAAAAATATTTTTTTAGTTCTTTAATATCGGCTAATTTTAGTATTATAATTTATAATGAATGAAATACTTACAGAAAAATTTATTTTTATTGAAAAATTCAATTTTAAACTAATTTTTAATAATGATGATACTGAATTACATTAAATTTAAATGGAAATTAAGTTAGCCGATATTTAAAAACTTTTTAATTTTTTTTTTTTTTTATTGAAAATATGACTAGAAAAAATAAGAAAAAAATTTTCATGTGTAAAAAACTTTAAGTGCAATTTAAAAAAAAATTTTATTCTAATTTAATTATTAAATAAAAAATCAAAAAATTAAAAACGTCGGTTAACTTTAATACCATTAAATTTAGCTGTCACTTTATATTTTTTTAAATTATCTTTAACAAATAAATTTGTTCCAAAAAATTATTTTTAAAAAATAGCATTTTTAATTTTTTTTGCATAATTTATTTGTTATAAAAATTCTTAAAATTATCAAATAGCTGCTAAATTAATTTTTATTGATACTAAAATCAGCAGACATTTAAAAATTTTTTTATTTTGGTCACTGAATTAAATAAGAACTAAAGAAATAGTTATAAAAAATTACAAGTGCAAATTTTTAAAAAACATTTTAATTTAATAATTAATTTATAATAAAATTAAAAAAAAAATTGTCAGATTTTACTGATTTCAGTATCATATTTAATATCCAAATATTTTACAAAGGGATTTGGTGACTATTGTAATTATAAAAAAGTAAAATGGTAGAACAACTGATTTCTGACACTAAAAATTTATAATTTCATTTATAAATATAAAAATTAAAACTTGTATAATATCTTCTCCACTTAAAAAAAAAATTAAAAAAAAATCATTAATGCCAAAAATCAGTAATTTACCTCATGATAAATTTACGTAAAAAGTTTAACTTTATTACAAATACTCAAAATTTAAATTGATGAATCTAAAATTAATCTCACAACAGACGTCTATAAAAAGATGATTAGTCCCATCAAATTGATGCTTTAAAAATACTCTGACCGTAAACTTAACAAAATTAAAAAATATTTACAGTCTCGGACAAAGCATCAACCTGACAGTTCAGATGACTTTAATAGTATCAATAACTAAAAATAAATTTAAATCTGCAGTGACTTGATGATAGTATTAATTTTCTCCACATGTTCCTCCTTCTTCTTGGTAATAGTAGCCTCAGCCTCAACGAACTGCGTGCGACTAATTTTCCCAGGTACAAGCTTATCAACATACAACGCCTGCTGCTGGTTATACAACTCCTTAAGCAACTTATCAAACTTCTGAAGCTCGCAAACCCTCTCATGAACTTCCGCAGAATCAGCTTTTATTTTCTGAGCCAAATCAGTGATAGCACTACTAGCAGTCTTGTATTCCTGATTGATGCCTTTAACAGCTGACAAAAATCCATTGGTGTCCTTGTTGGTCTTCAGAAGAGCCAGCTGTTCATCCAGTTCATTGTAAGACGTGATACGTTTGTCCTGAGCAGCCAGGATTTTTTCACACTGGCCAGCGATGCGTAGCTTGCTCTCAGAAGCCTCGTCCTTGTCAATAGAAAAGTCCATGCGCACATAGATTATCACCATCAGGAACAGCAGGTACAGAGCAATTACCACAAGCATCGGCTCCTGGAGCATCAGAATTCTCGGGAAGTTGTACTTGAGACTGAAGTCCTGGATGTGGTTCTCCACCAAGTTCTTCTTGGTCAGTATGATCACCGGGCGTCCAGTGGTGTCCAGGTAGGAGTAGTGCACAGAGTCTGGAAGACGAGTCACAGGGTAAGGAAGATCCAGCTCGAAGTTGCTCGAGCTCTCAGGTAAAATTATCTTCACTATCAATTCATCGACAATCATGTCGTCGAACACGTGGTCTACCAGCCTCATCCTCAGGACATACTTGTCTCCATCGTGGAAAAGATACTCGTAGCTCGGTACATTGTACCCGATTATGTAGTGAGTCTTCCATCCGCCAAATAGAGGGAACCTGGGTCTCAAATTAACCTCCACTGAATCCTTCTTGACTCTGGTGTGAGAAGTTGAGATGTTACCGATGTCATCCCGGTAGTAAATGTCAGAAGCAGCTGCTGGTAAAACTGTATCAAAGCTCTGGACACTAGCCTGTCCGGATTTAGACTCCCTGGTGTATTCATACCTAGAAAATGAACCTTTTAATAAAGCGCCAGTGTGCAAAAGGTCAATGGTCTCCTCTACGGCGATGTTGCCCCAGTGGGAGATCTCGATGATTCGCTCCAACCTGGTAACAGTCAAGAATTTATGGTTATTCTCAAAGTGAACTGTGAATTCTTCTATGGCAAATGGTTGACGTTTATCAAAAGGTCCATAGATTATTGCGGAGTCAGTTGAGGACACTGGTTTTATCTTGGTGTAGCTTTCTATGTTCCTGTTGGGCAGCACGACGTTGGTAGTCTGCTTGGTCACGCTGTAGGGTGAGAATATTAAAACATTACCGGTGAATTTTACCAATTGTTTTTCCCTTTGAGTTATTTCTCTGGGGTACGGATCCACGTCGTGGGTGAAAAATGTCTCCACTTCGACGGAAGTGGATCTCCCGGATTGCAACTGGTCTTTCAAGTCAATACGGTAAACATTTTTGTCAAGATAACCTTCTAATTTGATGGGTGTTACCTTTAATTCGGTTCTACTTGCGTCTCGTGTATGAGCAGATATGTAACTCAGCTGAGGGATTTTGTTGTCATCAACGGCGAAATGGAAGTGACGGACTGGAGCTTTTCCAGTGTTTTCTACCACCAGCTTTGAGGATATTTTTGTTACTTGCGACTGCAGATCGATGGTCCTGTCGACATTCTTCAGTACGATGTCCGGGTTTATTTTTTCAGCAGATAATAAATACACTGAGTTTATTGAGATTAGTAAGATTACGGTTGATATTAAGCTCTTGGTGAGAGCCATTGTTTGATTTGTTTATGGTTAAACACTTGATTGAATATTTTTTTTATTTAATAATTATTGAATATTGAATATGTTTACCGGCTATCAGAGGTACATAGATGTAGATTGTATTGTATTTAGCCGATACGAACGTGGCGGACGTTTGGCAGTGCGAGACGTGGCTTTTAATGGTTAGTTAGCCGTTTGTTCAAGGTGGTAGCACTTTACAGTGGTGATATATATAGGTGATATGTCAAAATGTGAGGCGCGACCTGGTGGATGAAGTTTGGATTGATAGATTAATTTAAATTTACTGTTACAAGTGTTTTTAATGAATTTCAGCTGAGGTAAATCATGTAAATAATTCAATAATTTTAATTTATAATACTGACAACTGTCAATTTTTTAAATTCTCACTAAAAATTAATTACAATAATAAAAATACTTGTAAAATTTTCTTTTAATAATTATATTTTATTTTTTACTAGTGAAATTTTTATATTAAATTTTTTTTTCATAATATCATTGCTTCAAAATGCATGACATTAAAGTTAGCAGTCACTTAACAATTTTTTAATTTTATTTAAGAAAAAAATTTGTTCCAAAAATTTGTTTTTTAAAAAATTACATTTTTTATTTTTTAAAATTTCTACATGTCAATTTTTTTTGCTATAATTTATTTGTAATAAAACTAAAAAAAATTATTAAACATATGCTAAATTAATTTTCAATGTAATTTTACATTTACTTATTTAAAGAATTATTGTAAATATAACAGGCGTAAAATTTTTAATAAATTAAAATAGTCAATGGTTGAATATTTACATTAGAAAAATATTTTTAACTTTTATTTAAACTATCATACGTTGTATGTACAATTATCAATGAATAAAAATGATATTGAAATATTAGCAGACATCTAAAAATTCTTGTCATTTTTATAATAAATAAATTATTATAAAAAAAGTATTTTGTAAAGTTCACTTATAACTTTTTAAAATTTCGATATGTAGGATTTTTTTTCATAAGATAATTGTTATAAAAATCTAAAAAATTATTAGCTGTCTGTTAAATTCAACAATATCAATCAATAAAAACCTTCAATTTTAGTAAATAACATCTGTTAATTTTCTAGCAAGGTACATTTGAGACTAATAATCTTTATTATTAGTTAATCATCTGAATCAGTATCCTGTTCATAAGGATTCGCCGGTCTTGCTGGTGAAGTTGATGCTTCAACTTCTTCTTCACTTTCAGCAGCTCTCCTACTATCACTGCTACTCAAAGCATATCTTCTCCAAGGATACCTAATTACAAATAAAAAAAATACATCAGCTTAATAAAAATCATCAAATCATATCTCCTCCAAAACAATTTACCTCTTTTTGTGATCAAAACATTCTTCAATAAAATCCTTAGAAACAATTTTCGCACGACCGCGAAACTGCTGGTACTTAGGCGTGTTTTTAAAAGCACATATTAAATGAGTACATTTATTTTCCCTTGTATTAGGATCAGAGACATACTTAGCCCCCATTTTCAGTGCTTTCTTCCTGATTTCATCCCGCTGAGGGTTGACGTACCCGCTCAAAGAGAACCTTACGTCACTCAGCAGCTTTGAAAATTCTTTCTTTACTCTAGGCTTAGACTCTTTAGTCTTAGTTTTCTTAGTTTTCACTAGTGGTGAATTATCACGTGGAGCAGACAACTTCTTGCATGTCTTGCACAATTCACCTGAATTTTTCGAGCAAATTGGACACTTATTTTTATCCTTGGTCAAATTACTTCTATCAACTTCTGAAGTAGAAGCCTGCTCATCATCACTCAGTCTATTTTTTTCATGATTATTATCATCAAAATTACTACCACCATTTCTTTTATTATCATCATCTTTAAAATTACCAGAATTTATAAGAGTAATGGAAGTTAGCCCGAATAATTCTTTCAAATTAGCAGGCTGCATGCAGGTGACTTTCACCCTATCGAATTTCCTGTCAACAGTATCAGGATTAAGCTCCTTTTTGGTAAACACCTGGACCTTATCCTTGAACTTGTTATTTACTGCCTCGTCGCGGGTCATGAACTGGTGGTTCAATATGAACACCCATTTGTCCGGCTCCTGAAAAGTCGCAGCGGTGATGATCACCAAACAGGACCTGTAATATAATACTAAAGTTAGCCGACGTTTCTAATTTTTTCAATAATTGAATTAGAACAAAAAAATATTTTTTAAAAATTGCAATAACAATTTTTAAGTTTTTTACAAACGAATTTTTTTTTTTTTTAATACAAAAAATTTTTTTCAATACAAAAAAAATTCTAAAAATTTTTAGATGTCGGCTAACTTAATTTTCATACCTGTAATTATCAATATTAATACCAGTTATGCATGAAGCCTCTGGTAGCTCGAATACTACTTCTGCAAGCATTTCTCCAGGTTTCGCACATTTCCATGGACCTGGTGACGGCTTGCATGAAAGGTTCGACGCCGGGTACGAAGGGTGCTCTGACGAGCAGCTTATTATTTTTTCTAATTTTATAATCATTGATATATTTGTCCTTATTGATTAATTGTTGTTTTGATGAATGTACTATAACATAACCTCAATAATAATTATTTTGAATCACCTGGTCACTTGATTAATTTTATTAAAATAATATTTAATAATTATCTTCTTCACTTGATACTTTTTAATACTTTGGTAGAGTGTTTTTAATTTTAACAATTTTTTTACAAGTTTTTTAAAGAATCCTGTCAACCAAAACAAATTTATTATTTTAGCGGGAAGTTTATTAAAGAAGAGTAGTGACATCTTGAGTTGATATTTTTGGATAATTAGACTTTCTCTTAAGGTAAGGGGTAGTAAATAAATGTTTTTTAAAAAACAAAATTTAAAAAATTACCGCTATTATTAATTTTTGCAATATAACATTTATCATCTTCAATTCACCAAATCCGCCATTTTGAGTTGTCTTCTTCAGCTCTGAATTAAATTATCTATTTAAATTTAATTAGTTAGTTATATTAAATAAAATTAAGTTTTATATTGTTCTTTAATGTGGCAAAATTTTAGTTTTATTTTTTTTTTCTTCAAAAAAAATTTTTTTTTAATAAATATCAACAAAATTGTAATCAAGAAAATTTTGATTACCGTGACTAAGATGGTGGTTTGCAATACAATTAAAAATAAATTGACGTTTTATTCTTACCAATTAATTTTCTTCTTCGTTGGTATAACTATACCGAATTTTCATTAAATTAATAAATAATTAATTTATAAATTAAATAAATGTCTGTGGATATAAGCAGAAATAATTTCAATAATTCGCGGATTGAGGATCTGTAACAGGTTAGCTCCCTCTGTGTTATTTACCATAAAGTTAACACGTCAACGAATGCCACGCTCGTGGTGTTCATGTTTTATCTTTTTACACAATATTTTATGTAGGTGATTGTATAAATAATTTAATGTATTAATTAACAATAATTAAATTTTAATTAAATAATATTGTAATTTGTAAGTATCATATCTTCTTAACATAAATATAAAAACCACCTGGTTATTAATTTATTGAGCGTTAAAAATTCTGTTTGCGAAATATGATTCGCATTACATCTGAGTGTACATAACAATTATGCCGGCCGGTTTTGTGTACGTGTCGCTTATTCAAACATTTGTTTACGATTATCAATTAATTAAGCTCAAATATTTTATCGCTAATTAATAAATTAGTCATGTGAATTCATTTACAGCTAATTAAAATTAGTGAATATTTATTTTTTTATTGTATTGAGTTAATTGTTACTTTTAAAACTTTAACCTCTCTGACACTTGACTTTTCGATTTACATTAAAATAATTATAATGATATTTTTGGATTGTAATTATAATTTTGATTATTTTTTATTTTCAGGTAAATTAGAAAAAAAAATGGGGGCCTTTGTGAAAGTTAAGGATTTGCGTTTCTCAGCGCAAAAACATGAAACACTTTTAAAATTAACCATTTTATCCTTAGCTGCTGTTTTATGTAAGAATTCACAATATTGATTCTATCGTATAAATTTTTTATTTGATACCTTTAATGGAACATCAACATATTTTTAATTTATTTACAGCTTTTGGAACTCGTTTGTTTTCTGTATTGAGATACGAAAGTGTAATTCATGAGTTCGATCCTTACTTTAACTACAGAACGACAAAGTTCCTCGCTGAAGAAGGCTTTTATAATTTTCACAATTGGTTTGATGATCGAGTATGGTATCCTCTAGGAAGAATCATCGGAGGTAAACTCATTTTTATTTTTTTTTTTATTTTAAGGGCCATTGCTTGGAATTTTTAGTAGAATTTTTATTTTTTACTTAGTTTTAAAGTATTAATAAAAATTTTTTTTTTTATGATACTAAAATTAGTAGACATTTGACAATTTTTGATTTTTTTAATCAATAAAAATTATGAATAAAATAATATTTTTTTTTTAAATTGCACTTAAAAATCTGTCAAATTTTAATTTTTTTTTAATCATTTTTTGCAATAAAAAATTTAAAAAATTTTCAGATGTCGGCTAATTTAATTTTCATTGATTTTTTTTCACAAGAAGAAATTTAATTTATTAGAATAAAAGATAATAGTTTAGATATGTAGTCTCTCTATTTTTAAAAAATATTTATCATGAGAGTTTTTTTAATTTATTCAAATTTTCATTCTTAAAAAAAAAAAAAAATTGAACGATACTCTAAAAATTGATTTGAATTGAATTGAATTTAGTGATTTATGCCAAAGCCTTCACTGGCCAAATGGCAAAAGAAAAATATACATTATGTGAATATAATACATATTTAAATTTTTAATTTTAATAGGATTATTAAAACTTATATACATTTGAAAATTATAAAATTAGAGTAAGAGTAATATTGCTTAAATACTATTTTTGTAAGAAATAGCTTAGACGTAAATTATTTTTAATAGTTTGCAACATTTATAATTTTGATTTTAATGATTTAACTGAAATTTAAGTTTACAATTTAGATGTCTAGATTAAAGAGGTAATCATAAAGTTTATTCTTGAAAGTTTCTATACTGGTTTCTTAATTGATGTTTAAAAAAATTTCAATAAAACCAAAACGTATGAATTTTTTTGTAAAATTTATTCAAAAAAATTATTTTTCATCATTTTACAAATTATATTCATAAAGCATGTTATGAAAAAAAAAAATATTGAATAAATTAATTTTTCGATTTTTTTATGGAGTCAAAAAATGAAAAAAAAAAAAAAAAATAAATTTGATAACCAATTATAATTACTAATTAAATGTATTATTTATTTTCTTACAGGTACAATTTACCCAGGTCTGATGGTAACCTCAGCAACACTATACCATCTTGCTCAGATGTTGAACATCACTATCGACATTCGTAATGTCTGTGTGTTCTTAGCTCCATTATTCTCAAGCTTTACGACAATAGTAACATATTTATTAACTAAGGAATTGAAAGACTCGTCATCTGGATTATTTGCCGCTTGTATGATTGCCATTGTACCAGGATACATATCACGATCTGTAGCTGGATCATATGATAACGAAGGAATAGCGATATTTTGTATGCTATTTACCTATTACATGTGGATAAAAGCCGTAAAGACCGGTGCGATATTTTGGTCAACGTGTGCAGCCCTCGCCTACTTTTACATGGTTTCTTCCTGGGGTGGTTATGTCTTCCTTATCAATCTTATTCCACTTCACGTGTTAACTCTCATGGTCACCGGTCGATTCTCTCATCGAATTTACACTGCTTACAGTATTCTTTACTGTATTGGTACTATTTTATCAATGCAGATTGCGTTTGTTGGATTCCAGCCTGTCCAAAGTTCTGAACATATGCTCGTTAGTTATTTTCCTACATGATTTATTTATTGACCTATTTATAAAAATCTGAAGCTATAAAAATTTATTTTTTTATTTTTTAGGCATTGGGAGTATTTGGATTGTGTCAAATTCATGCATTTGTTGATTATCTGCGTAGTAAACTATCAGAAAGTGATTTTGACTTATTATTCCGTGGTCTTATCGCTTCAATGTTAACCATTTCTTGTCTCATTGGTGGTATTTTGACGATAACAGGTAAAATTTTTAAATAAAAAATATTTTTGACTTATTGAATAATCCATATATTATTAAGAGAATAAGAAAAATTTTGTGTCCGGGATAATCATATGATAAAATCGTTTTTTTTTTAGTGAAATTTAGTATCGTTGCAAAGATCTTGATTTGAATTTGTGCCTTTTCAAGGTTTTATATCATTATCATCGATAGTCAATTTATTATGATAAGTATTTAGGTTGCATTCGAAAATTCTCTATCTTTAAGTACATAATTAAGAAATGACCTTGTATCTTGTGAACTATTGACATTTTTAAAGATATAAGCTCATCCCGATATTACACTCATCGAGACCTTTCATTTGAGTACCCACATCAATTTTTCATATATTTATATATATTATATATATATGTATATATGAAAAATATATCAAAATGCATGTGGGTACTCAAATGAAAGCTCTTGATGAGTGTAACATCGGGATGAGCTTATATCTTTAAAAACGTCAATATTTAAGAAATTACAGTGCAATTTTACAAAAGATCGGCAAGTCACGGCAGTCACTCAGTGACTGCAAGGTTGCTAATTTATAAAATTAAGAAAATTAGAAAAACTATGCCTTCCGCATATTCTTATGATAAAATAAGTTTTTTAAATTAAATTTAATATCAATAGAAAAGTCTTGATAAGAATTAGTGCCTTTTGGTTTTATATATTTTTTAGCAGTTAATTTTTTATGTCAAGTTTTTGGAGTATTTTTCAATAGTTTTTTAATTGTATAAATTTGTTACGTAACATTTGTCCATTAAATTGTTTGTAATTGATTCTGTGATAGCACTATTATTTTTAAAATTTATATAAGTACTCAAACTATGTGTAGTGTAATTAGAAAAATATCAAAAAATCATCAAGCTTAAGTTTTCTTATTCACAATCCGTAAATTTCAGCAGTTGCATAGTGACTGCGCAGGTTGTTAGTTTACTTATTAATAATCTAACTAATTTCAGGAAAAATATCACCATGGACGGGAAGATTCTACTCACTATTGGATCCGTCTTATGCTAAAAACCACATTCCCATAATAGCATCAGTATCGGAGCATCAGCCAACATCATGGAGCTCATTTTATTTCGACCTGCAAGTACTCGTGTTTCTGTTCCCAGCCGGTTTATACGTATGCTTTTCAAAGTTAACAGACTCAAACATATTTCTTATACTTTACGGTGTAACTAGTCTCTATTTTGCGGGTGTTATGGTACGTCTGATGCTGGTACTAGCGCCTGTGATGTGTATCTTAGGTGGAATAGGCGTATCATCGTTACTATTAACGTACATGAAGCAGCTCGAAAGTAATAAAATAGTAGAGAAAAAGTCACGCAAGTTTGAGAATAATTACGTATTACGAGGAGAGATCGCAATGTTGTTCGTTGCGATTGTAGGGATGCTATTTTTCTCATACACGTTACACTGTACGTGGGTCACTGCTGAAGCCTACAGTTCACCGAGTATTGTATTATCAGCACGATCTCCAGACGGTGGACGGATGATCTTCGACGATTTCCGGGAAGCTTACTACTGGTTACGTATGAACACTCCAGAAGACGCTAAAGTTATGTCATGGTGGGATTACGGTTATCAGATAACGGCAATGGCTAATCGCACGATTTTAGTTGACAATAATACGTGGAATAATACCCACATATCGCGTGTTGGTCAAGCTATGGCTAGTTCCGAGGAAAAGGCCTATCAAATTATGCGTGAACTAGATGTTAATTATGTGCTGGTCATTTTTGGCGGACTAACGGGATACTCGTCTGACGGTGAGTCCACTTTTAACTTGTACTTGTTCAACATTTTGTAATTATTACTTTTTTTTTTTTTCATACAAGTTATTAAATTTGCATTTATTTACATAATTTATTTATGCTTTTAGATATTAACAAGTTCCTGTGGATGGTTCGTATCGGCGGTAGTACTGAAGAAGGAAAATCCATCACTGAGTGGGATTATTATAATCCTTCTGGTGAATTTAGAGTTGACAAAGATGGATCGCCGACTTTACTCAACTGCTTGATGTACAAGATGTGTTATTATCGTTTTGGACAAGTTTACACTGAAGGAGGTGAGTTGAGGCTTTTTTTTTTTTGCAATAAAACATGTTATAGTTTTTTAATCTACTTTACTTATCGGTAAATTGATAAATAACTTGTTTTTACTATAAAAACTGTATTTTTTTAAATGAGTGAAATATTAAAAAAATATTAAATTTTTTTTTTTTAATTATTAATTATCAATTATTTAAATTCTTATAAAAAATTAATTAGAATAAAAATGTTTTTAAAAATTTCCACTAATAATTTTTTTTTTTTTAATTTTCACATGTGGAATTTTTGTAATAAATTTTTTTCGTAATAATTTCATTGCTATAAAATTAGAAAAAAAAAATTTTGGCTCATGATTTTGAATAAAATTTCTATTTTATCTTTTTTTTTGTTTTTCACAATTTTCTAAAAAGTTATAAATTTTTTTGAAAATTTGTTAAAATTGTGATAATCAACTTTGTTTTTTAAATTGTTCATTTTTTATGTATTAAAAAAAATATATATCAATAAAATCAAATAGAAATTTACTTCTAAAAAATCAAAATTAAAATGATTGATCCCACTTGTAAATATTTACCAAAAAATCTTTAGAAATAAAACTGAGATTTAAAAATTTTTAAATATTTATATTAGAGAATTTATTTATTTATTTCATAAAAACATATGGATAAATTAAAAAAAAAAAAAAAAAATTAATTATAAAATTTTAGATGCGTATATTTAAAATTGTTATCAGATCTCGCTAATCCATAAACTCTAATAAATAAAAAATGAATAATTTATTTGCAGGTAAACCATCTGGGTACGACAGGGTCAGAAATATGGAAATAGGACACAAAGACTTTGAGCTAGAAACATTAGAAGAGGCCTACACAACAGAACACTGGCTAGTGCGCATTTATAAAGTTAAAGACTTAAAAAATAGAGGATATTAGATATCTCATTAAAAAGTATATTTTTTTTATTTCTCCAATTACTTCAGGCTTACTGTCACAGTGATCATACATTCTTTACACAGTTTCACATTTAAAGATTAATTATAAAAAAAAAAAAAAAATATAAATGTGTTTCCACTAATATAATTTTTTATTATATTTTATATTTAAGGCCTCAGGAATTTTTTATCATTCGTACAGATTTATCGTATTAAATACGTGCTATGTATTTTCTGTAATACTAAATATATACATGTGAATTTTTATAACGTTAAACGATGATTAAAAATAAGTCATGGTGAATACAGATAAAAATCCACAAATATAAGTCTTTTGTTATCTGTATATTTTTTCATTTATTTATTTTTAATATTATTATCATTAAAATTAAAATAATTAACTTAATTAATCAATAATCAATAATTAATAATTATAGTTTATAAATTGGATTTAAAACGGGATTCAATAAACATTGAATAGAAGGTGGCATAAAAAATATGAGTATTTATGTAGTATATGAACAATATACAAGTATGTAGGTACAAAAAAAACGTAATAACGGTGTAGAGAGTGATGTTGCTTAATAGTCATAAGTTATTATTTAATCCCACTCTCCGATGTACATGCCACGGGGTACTGGTGGTATAAAACTGCGTGTTGGAATGGGTAATCGTCCGTAAATGTGATTATAGGGCGAGTCTATCCGATCGTCTGAGTCTGAAATTACCAAAAAGGTCAATCACTTATTACTTATTTAATTCAACTGAGTTGAATCAAAGACTGTACTAATTATCCGTTATATTATAAAATTCAAGTCACCTTAGTGACGAGGATAAAACTATTATTTCTTCTCGTCAAAGCCTAGATGTTAACGTTCGCCTAAAAGCTACGTACCTAAACCACTCTCGAAGCTACGGGCGTGATACATAATAGGTGGTCGTCTGTTTGGTGCGTGACTCGCATAAATATGTGATGACTGAGACTGACTACTGTTGTAACCGATGTACGCCGGGGCTGATATTTGTGTTTGTGCTGGTGCTGGTTGCGGTCTCCCCGTTCCCGTTCCATACGCCGGAAGTATTCTTATTTGGCTGTTCTTTGCCATTTTTACAAAATTTGGTACACGTGCCCTCATACCACAGTAATAAGGATCGTCGTTCTTTCTGTCGTTCTTTTTGTTATTTTTCTTCGAATCCTCGGTAACTACCACCGCTGGTCTCACACCATTGCTGCCGTAATCATCTTCGATATCATCATAGTCAGGCTGTAACAGTAAATTCTTTTTGTAATAAATAATAACCCGGATAATCTATAATATAATATAATATAATGTAATACATAACATTCTTAGTCTTATTTTTGTTATTTATTTTCATGTGAGGTCATACGATTTATATATGGTACTACGGATCGTTATCGTACACGTGGGTGGGAAACCGTTCGGATGAATGGATCAAAATTTTATGGTTTTATTTAGATACAATTTTTTATAATTTAAGACACTGATATTAGTGTCTATTAAAAAAATTTTTTTCACTGATTTAGAAGTAAAAATTTACAGCTATATTTATACATTTTTTCTCTTTAGAATTTTTTTTTACCAGAAATTAAATAAATAAAAATGTTTGAAAAAAAAAATTCAACTCAAGTAATTATAAAAAAAAAATTTTTCAATTTTTTTTAGTGGAAAGTTATAAAAAAAAACAATTTTTTTTCAAAAGCTTCAATCTTAAGACACTGAAGTGAACAAACATTAGATTTTTTTTTTAATTTTATAGCAATAAAATTTTTATGAAAAAAATTTGGTAAATATTTACATTTGATTTTATTGATATATTTTTTTTTTTCGAAAAATATATGAAAAAATGAACAATAAAAAAAAAAGTTGATTATCACAATTTTAATAAATTTTCAAATAAATGTATAAATTTTTTAGAAAATTGTAGCGTTCAACTTTTTTTTTTTTTAATTGTTCGTTTTTTTATGTACTTTTCAAAAAATATACATCAAAAAAAGATAAAATAGAAATATTATCCAACAATATGAGAGCCAAAATTTTTTTAAACTTTTGAAAGTAAAAAAAGCTATCGAAATCTTTACTTTTTTCTTCCACGACATTTTTTATCATAAATGCGCCGTAAAAACAAGCAGAATAAAAAAAAAATTTGAAAAATGTTAATTTTTCACCTAGTTATGGCTTAAAATATGGTTGACCCCACTTGTAAATAATTACTAAATTTTTTTCACCAATTTAGAAGTAAAAATTTACATCTATATTTATAAATTTTTATACTCTTTCGAGATTAAAAAAAAAGAAAAATAAATAAAAATGTTTGAAAAAAAAAAATCTAACAAGTATTTATAAAAAAAAAAACAATTTTTTTTTTTTCAAAAGCTTCAATCTTAAGACACTGAAGTGAATAGGCATTACAATTTTTTTTTCTAATTTTATAATAATGAAATTATTATTAAAAAAATTCCACATGTGAAAATTAAAATAAAAAATTATTAGTGAAAATTTTTATCATTCTAATTAATTTTTTATAAGAATTTAAATAATTTATAGTTATAAACTAGCTTCAGTATAATTAAATCGAGATATTAGCAAAATATATTTAAAAAAATTAAAAGTTGCTAGTTTTTTTTAAATTTTTTATGAAGTAATAAAATAGAAAAATACCTTAGGAATATTTTGACCGTAAAGATTCTCCCGGGGAGGAAGTTTCGGGGGTTTTTCAGTACGTCGCCGATGATAAGCCGCTGATTGGCCGTAAATCTGTTCATGCCGTGGATCTCTGACTGCATCGCGTAATTCACTGGGTCCAGAAGCTGCAGCAACACCAGCTACGCTGTAAGGATCTTCGTCAGGTATGGGAATTCTCGGCCGATTTTTGATATCCACAGACCTCTTCAGTGCTGGTACTGATAATTTGAACAATAATTATTAGATAAACATCAAAATATCTGCTAATAAATATAAACTCGCTGGAGGCCATTGAGTTTTGCCCTAAACGGGCTCGGGCGTAACCGGTAATTTATTCTGGGTCGCAAGCATTAAAATAATTATTTGTAATCTTGGTATGCAAAAATAAAAATATCTGGAGTATTTTAAATCATACTGCAGTCAGATTTGATTTTAAACTGTTGGGTTTTATTTTTTTGCCCCGGGGAGACGGCTGATCACGATCATTAACTCAAGGTGGTCTCCAGCGTTGGAAGTTTAAATAATTTAAAATAATAAAATAAATTACATATAGGGAGTTTGCTTTTGAGCAACTCCAAGCCAACGACGTTGACAATGAGAACCCAGACAGGACACTTCAGCAATTCAGCTTCTGTTCTCACGAAGACGATTGCGCTGAGACATTGTTTTTCAAGTCTTCTGCGATCTGGATATGAGCGACGGGTCTCCCGTTCTAAATTCTGTTCGTATTTAGCCATGTCGAATAATTTTCCTGGTTTTTCAAACTCCAACGCACCCTGGGAATTTCTCAGTATCTCTGCGCCGACCGCGTTTTCTTCGGGATGTGTAGTCTTTATGTAAACGTTGCTTTTGCACAGTCTCTTTATTAGGATATTCCCTTTGTCATCCATTTTTATTTTTACTCCTAGGTCGATGTGTCTTTTAGTCTCTTCTGTTTTAGGATCTCTCATTGGGTTGTCGAAACCGCAGAGGCCTATCCTGAAAATTATAAATTAAAAGGTCGAATTTTAGTTTTTTAAAATTTTATTTTCTCTCATTGTTTGGGCAGTAATATTTTAAAGATATAAGCTCATCTCGATGTTACACTCGTCAAGAGCTTTCATTTGAGTACCCACATGCATTTTTGATATATTTTTCATATATACATATATATAATATATATAAATATATGAAAAAATTGATGTGGGTACTCAAATGAAAGGTCTCGATGAGTGTAATGTCGGGATGAGCTTATATATTTAAAAATGTCAATAGTTCACAAGATACAAGGTCATTTTTTATATTTTTCATATATACATATATAATATATATAAATATATGAAAAAAATTGATGTGGTACTCAAATGAAAGGTCTCGATGAGTGTAATGTCGGGATGAGCTTATATCTTTAAAAATGTCAATAGTTCACAAGATACAAGGTCATTTTTTAATTATTGACATTTTTAAAGATATAAGCTCATCTCGATGTTACACTTATCAAGACCTTTCATTTGAGTACCCACATGCATTTTTTATATATTTCTCATATATACATATATATAATATATATAAATATATGAAAAATTGATGTGGCTACTCAAATGAAAGGTCTCGATGAATGTAACATCGGGATGAGCTTATATTTTTAAAAATGTCAATAGTTTACGAGATCTAACAAGTTCTTGTATCTACAAGTAAAGGTCATTTCTTAATTATGTATCTTAGATATCTAAATACTTATCATCATAAATTGACTATCAGTGAGAATGATATGAAATCTTGAAAAGGCATAAATTCAAATCAAGACCTTTGTAATGACACTAAATTTCACTAAAAAAACCCGATTTTATTATATGACTATCCTGGACAAAAAATTTTTACTATTCTCTTAATAATATAGACAAATTTTAATGATTAAAAAAAAAAATTAAAAATTAAATGATTTGATATTTTGTTTTTTTCTTTTTCAAGAATTAAATTTAAGAAATATTATTTCTTTTAAATTTTATTTTGAAAAAAATGAGCAATTTTGTAATAAGAAATTAATTTGTTTAAAATTTATATAATTTTATTTTTTAGCTAAAAATTTTAAACAAATTAATTTTTTTTTAACACAATGCTAATTATTTTAAGAAGAAATTTTTTTTTCTAGTGTAATATTTGATTTTTTATAAAACCATATTCTTCTTTATCTTCACAATTTTTTTTTTCACAAATAAACAATGATAAATGTCAAAATAAATTGTTAAATATTTAATTAAACAAAACTATAAAATACATAATTAGAGACCCAAAACTTTGAAAGTAAGTATTAAAAAGAAAGTAAAAACCCATAACTCTGATAATTGTTTGAAATAAAAGTTTCACCTATTTTAATCCGTCAAAAAGAAGAAACTTCTGTTTCAAAAAATAAATTTATCTCCAGCCTTATTAAAGTAATATTATAAAAAAAAAAAAAAAGAATCATAAATTTATAAACAAAAATTTTAAATAATTGGTCAAGTATAAAGTAAAGATTTATGGAAGAGAAAAAACGGCGAGCGCGTTCCATAACAATTATAATCATCGAAAGTTGTAGTCAGGTGAGCGATACTGTTGTGTGTGCTAATTAAATAAAAATCCATATTAAATAAAGTGTATCTATGTTAAATTGCCCAATAGAATTAATAATGCGGCTTAGTATATATAATGTTACAGCAAGTAGGGAAAAGTGTGCCTCAAAACAAATTCTTATCACGCGTGTGTACAGACTTACGTGACTCTAAATTTGATTAAATAATTAAAAACTAGGTCAAGTAACGTTAAACTACAATTTTATTTATATTTTATTGCCCTGGGATTTGTTAATGGTTAACATTAGGCTATTTATAGCCCTGGAGAATCGGAATTGGGGAAAAACAAAAAAAAAAAAATAACAAACCTAAAGCCATCGAAACCGTCAATGGAGTCGTTGACCGTGAGAACTGGTGCCCGGGCGTAAGCTTTAGCGACTCTTCTGTTTCGCTCGAAGACTATTACCTTAGCCCATATCTCGTCGTCTATCTGGTTCCACTTGTCCAGGACCTCTTGTATGTGGTCCTGCAGTTAAATGCTCGTTTTAAAAAGTATAAAAGTGTTAAGTGGTTTAAGAGAAAATAAAACAATAAAAGAGTTTAAGGTCGAAGGCGGTGCAAGATACTCACCTTGTACAACTTATCTAAATTATACCAAACGTCCTCCTCTTCCTGATCATCGTACTGGGAATCAGCAAGGTTGTCCCGCGAGCGAGAGAGAATTTTTCGCCTCGACACCATCTTCTCTCCACTCCTCTTCCTCTTCCTCCTTCTTCTCCTTCAGTTAGCGACTGTCGAGGAGCTCTGAAAATCATTCAAACAACTGGTCAGTATGAATTGCCCCTAATTATTATTATTTTTTTTTTACTTTTCATTTTTATTTATATTTATATTGAAATTCTTCGCTTTAACTCTCGAGTTTTAAATTGTAATACAATATTATATACATCAATTTTTTTTAAGTTATTTTTTGTGACACTGGAAGATATCTGACAAATTTTTTTTATTATTACAAATCAATGATTTAAAAAAATTTGCACTTGTAATTTTTTTATTAAATTTTTTACCAATGAAAATTAATTTAGCAGATGTTTGATCATTTTAAAAATTTTTTTGACAAGTAAATTATGGCAAAAAAAAAATTATAAAAAAAAGTTGACATGTAGAAATTTTAAAAAATTAAAAATAATTTTTTGGAACTAATTTATTTATGAAAAAAAACTAAAAAATAATCAAGTGTCTACTAACTTTAATGTCATTTTTTATGAAAATTAATTTAGCAGATACTCAATAATTTTTGTAACAAATAAATTGTAGCAATAAAAAATTGACAAGTAGAAATTTTAAAAATTAAAACTGCAATTTTTTTAAAAATAATTTTTTGGAACAAATTTGTTTTGTTAAAAAAAATTAAAAAATGGTCAAGTGACAGCTAACTTTAATGTCATAAATTTTTTTCCATAATAATTTAAGTGTTATAGAAATCTATAACATATTGTCAATTGTTAAAGTCAGTATCATTGTTTTGAAGACATTGATACTCAAGTTAGCTGTCAATTTTAAAAATTTTTATAACAAATTAAATGAGACTGAAGTTAGCAGACACTTGACAATTTTTTGATTCTTCTTTAAAAATAAACTAGGCATAGAAAATTATTTATTAAATTCTCATTTATAATTGTTTGGAGATTTTAAAGATGAAGTTTTTAAATAAAAGTTTCTTGCTATAATTTGCTTGTTAAAAGAATTCTAAAAATTATCAGATGTCTCTCAATTTTAGTATCATCAAATTAATTACAATAATAAAATACTTCTGGTAATTTTCAGTCATAATTTTTATTAATTTTCACATGTGAAATTTTTTAATTAAATTTTTTTTATATTGATATAAATTTATAAAAAAATAAATAAATTTTTATTTTCTTTATAAATAAATTATTAAAAAAAAATTTCCACTTGTAATTTTTTTATTAAATTTAATTATTATAAAAATTAAAAAAAAATTGTCAAACATTGAATTCAAAATCAGTTTTAAAAGAAGACACTGAAGTTAACTGTCAATAAAAATTTTTTTTTTTATAATTTTATAATAATTAAATAATTATAAAAAAAAATTTCACATGTGAAAATTAAAAAAAAAATTATTAATGACAATTTTTTTGATTGTAATTGATTTGTTATAAAAATTAAAAAAATTGACAGTTGTCCAGCTGACCAGTACAATTTATTTTTTTCAGCAATGCAGAGAACAACTTTTGAGGCGTGCATTCCCCACGATCCATGATACCAAATTTTTAATCACACAAAATGATCTCGACCTCGACATTTTAATCCACTCACAAAAAAAATAAAAATAAATTGAGAGAAAGATCTCTGGCGTGTCTCATACTCATTGAGATTGGGAGGATAACTTTTACTCTTAGGCGAGTTTCAATACAAGATACAAGGTAAAGTGTAAGTGTAAGTATCAAAAGTTTTAACTCTGACGAATCTTTATAATATACAAGAAAGACGCTTTCGCAATTGTCTTTATATACACTTTTATATTATTTCTTAACCGGATGATTAGACCGGATGTCTACAGTCCTACAGATGAATCAAGCTCACATGACCTTTATTTCGTATGTTATTTTATATTTCAGATCAACTCTAGCTCCAGGGTTTTATAAAAAAAACTTTATGACAAATATAACAATAATTGGATTTATAAATGTGAGAAAGAGAAAGGAAGACTAATTAAACACTAATTCACTGTATAAATATATTTATCAATTAAATATAATTAATCACTATGCTACCAACACTGCTAAACTTTCAGGTCAGAAATATTTATTATTTTTCAATCAATTTAATTATTTATTTGAATATTTCTCTTAACATTTAAATATTATCTTCAATCTTTCTCTTTTTAATGATTGAACTTTACTAACAGTTGTTTTATTCCCATCCATATTATAGGCAAGTTATTTTTCTCCAAAGAGTACTTCAATGAAGAATAGTAAGATACATTCAATTATACTGCTTTAATTTTGATTGAAATGACATTTATAATCATTTCTTCTTTGTTTCAAGCTTGTAAATTAATTAAATAACTCTAGCTTGATAATTTATGACCGTTTTCTTGATCATAATCCCTTTAGTTCCAGTCCTTGGGTTTTGATGAGAAAACATCGTTATCTTCTCACAAATTAACCTTAAATAGGCTTCATTATCGCTCAGGTGGTGTATACACATTAAATTAAATCGTCTTAATACTTTTAAGGTACATATTTAATTAATAATTTTGATAATTATTTACCTTATAAGTCATAGAAAAATTAATAGCTTAATTATCTCTTATACTTGTTTAATTAATAATTATTTTTTTAGATTAACCATATTGATTAAAAAAAAAATCTTTTAGTTTTGATAATGACCTTAAAAAATTTTACAACAAATAAATTATAATAAAAAAATACTTCTAAAAATTTTCACTTGTAATTTTTATTAATTTTTCCATATGGAATTTTTAAATAAAATTTTTTTTTTTATAATAATTTAATTGCCAAAAAATTCTAAAAAAATTTTTAATGTCTGTAAACTTGAATGTCATATTTCTTCCCGGTTAATAAATTTATAATTACATTAAATTATTTCAAATAACAATTTATAAAAATAGTTTTGTTTTCTTCTTTAAATAAAAGAAGAAATGTAATCATCACCAAAAAAAAATATTTTATTCATATAGATTAATTTTTTCTTCTTTGATAATTACACCGCATAACACAAGTATTAAGATTCACCGGTAACTTGATCCATATTTATTTATTTATAAGTACGCATGCATAATACATGTATAATTGTAATATGCAAAAAAAGAAAATACGAATTGTTAGGTTTTGCATTGGATATGCCCTTGGCGGGAAACTGGAATTAAGACTGGAAAGTGTAACCTCGGAACTCAACCGCGGTATGTACGACGCATTGCAATGTCTTGTGTGCCATTTTGTGATTAACTTTACAACCATTTCCTAAGTATGCTTTCTTTATAGATATTTTCCATATTTTATAAATTTATATAATCTTGTGTGAGATATACAGCAAGTAAAGGACTAATAAAACTTCAAATTTGTTCATAAACAGAAAGAAAATGCTTGAAGGAAGACCGAAGTTGTGTTGGTAGAAGTTTAAATTTTTCTTGAAATTCTATTCTTGGTGGGTCATTTTTTCTTAATTCAAATTATCATAAATACTTGATATAATAAATTTTTATATTTGAACAAGATTTTTAGATACTTTAAAGAATCAGCGCTACTTACTTCAGCTGAGAAAAAAATTTTCTCTTGAATATTTGATACCCTTTTTATATTATTTTAGCGTGCAATTATACATATAGAATGAAAAAAAATGGTTAAATATTATTTGATCTTTCCATTTGACATGTTAATCAATAAAAATTTACTTCTATCTTTATATTTAATTTTTTGGAGCAAGAGACTGAATTTTCTCAAAACAAGATTTTCTTGGCTTAAATAAATTTTCTTGGATCAAGATCCGTATTTCTTAAAGCAAGAGAATTAATTTTGTAAAAATTTTTCTTGAAATGCACTGATAGAAGGATTTTTTTGTATTTAAAAAGATTTGTTAATATTTAATAAATGATTTATTAGAGGATAGGTCCTTAACAAATATTTATTAACAGATACAATAAATTTTTATATTTGATCAAGATTTTTAGATACTTTAGAGAAGCAGCGCTACTTACTTCAGCTGAGAAAAAAATTTTCTCACCTTGAGAAAATTTTTCTCTAGAATATTTGATGCCCATTTTATATTATTTTAGCGTGCAATTATACATATATTGAATGAAAAAAATGATTCAATATTAATTTGACATGTTAATCAATAAAAATATTAATGAAAATTTACTTCTATCTTTATAATTAATTTTTTGGAGCAAGAGGCTGAATTTTCTCAAAACAACAAGATTTTCTTGACTTAAATAAATTTTCTTGGATCAAGATACGAATTTCTCAAAGCAAGAGAATTAATTTAGTTGGAATAAGTGAAATTTCTTGTCAAAAAAGAATTTTTCTTCGCTCAAAAAAATAATTAATAAGAAAAATATTTTCTTGGCTCAAGTGAACCTTTTTTTCTGTGTATAGATCCATATCTCCTGTCAACAAGCCAAAGAAGAAAAAAGATTAGACGCAATAAGGGAGGCAATAAATCCTAGATTAACTGTAATCTAAAGTACTGTATTGTATAAAAAGTCAGAGTCTTAACAAAATATATCGGTGAGGTAATAAGAGCAAGGATACACATCGATGCTGTCTCATAGTCAGTAACAGCGGCATATTTAATGGTAAGCCTGCACCTAAAACGTCGACTTTCACTCGTAATAAAATGCGAAGGCTGCTTGTGAGTGTAACAGAGAGTGTAAGATATACATACAATTTATATCTATATACTTATTTATATATATATATGTGTATATATTTATACAAGCTAAGAGTTTCCTTAGGCAATGGCTGCGCAAGAAACACGGCATGCAGTGACTACTTGGCAAGTTACCTGGGTTAGCACACACCACACAACACTCTTAGCCATGCTGAAGAAGTTTATATGCTTCACAGTTGTTACTGTCATATACATATATGTATGTAAGCATACTTAGACATGTAAGAATAAATACATGGGCAAATAGAATGTACTAATACTAATAAGATTGGTACTTTTTTTTTAGCGAGTGGGTATGTTGT